ATTCACCACCACATTTCCTGACATGGATGATCTAGGACACTCATGTCGTAATCCTTTAATAACTCAAGCCATCTCCTTTGGAGAAGATTCAAACACTTTAGATTCAACACATATTTCAAGCTTTTGTGATCGGTAAACACATATACATGAACAACATATAAGTAATGCCTCCAAATCTTTAGAGCAAGCACTACCGCCGCTAATTCCAAATCGTGAGTTGGATAATTCTTTTCATGCACCTTTAATTGCCTTGAAGCATAAGTGATAACTTTCCCATGTTGTATCAAAACACAACCCAGACCAATTCATGAGGCATCACAATAAACCACAAAACCATTCGATCCTTCAGGTAATGCCAAAATTGGGGCCGAAGTGACTCTATCTTTCAACTCTTAGAAACCCTTCTCACACACTTCCGACCATAGAAATTTCACTTTCTTTTGAGTCAATGTCGTTAAAGGAGAAAAAATAGAGGAAAATCCTTCCACAAAACCTTCTATAGTAACAGGCCAAACTCAAGAAACTCCGCATATCTAAAGCGGATAAAGGTCTAGGTCAATTTTTAACTGTCTCAATTTTCTTAGGATCGACTTGAATACCTTCACTGGAGATATTATGGCCAAGGAAAACAACGGACCTCAACCAAAACTCACACTTTCTAAACTTAGCATACAATTCTCAATCCTTGAGAATTAGTTGCACAATCCTCAAATGCTCAACATGTGCATCCTCATTTTGGGAGTAAATTAAAATATCATCGATAAACACAATCACAAACATATCGAGATATTTCTTGAAGATCCTATTCGTCAAATCCATGAATGCCGCCGGGGGATTAGTCAAACCAAAAGACATCACAAAAAACACATAATGACTCTACCGGGTTCAAAAATCCATCTTTAAAATGTCATTTTACTTCACCCTTAATTGGCGATAACCCGACTGAAGGTCACTCTTAGAAAAGTAACTTGCTTCTTAGAGTTTATCAATCAAGTCATCAATCCTTGGAATAGGATACTTATTCTTAATGGTAATTTTATTCAATTGTAGATAGTCAATGCACATCCGGAGGGGACCATCCTTCTTTCAAACAAACAAAACCAGAGCATCCCATGGAGAGATACTTGGTCTAATTAAACCCTTATCTAACAAATCTTTCAATTGATCCTTTAAATCCTTAAATTCCTTTGGTGCCATACGATAAGGAGGAAAAGAAATAGGTTGCATATCTAGGAGAAGTTCAATATCGAAGTTTATTTTTCTTTCAGAAGGAATACCAGAAAAATCATCGGGAAACACTTCCAGAAACTCATTTACTATCAGAACTAACTCAAGAGTAGGGATTTCATAATCTATATCCCTAACCCAAACAAGATGATAGATACAACCCTTAAAAATCATGTTCCTAGCCTTTAGGCGAGATATAAAAAGACCCTTAAGAACATAATTTCCCTGTTCTCAGGTTCATTCGGAACCTTGAATGTGATCAATCAGGTCCTAAAATCTATGTAAGCATAACATGCATGAAGCCAATCCAACACAAGAATAACATCAAAATCTAACATATGAAGCTTAATAAGATCAACATGAGTGACTCTATGAGAAATGGAAATATGATATTTCCTATAAAATCTTTTACCAACAACAAAATAACCAACAGGAGTAGAGACATGAAAGGGATTAGAAAGGGTTTCGGGACCAACATCAAATCTCATGGACACATAAGGACTAACAAATGATAACTTAGCACTTGGATTAATCAAGGCATACACATCAATATGAAAGACTTTCAACATACCAGTCACAACATCCGAAGAATCCTCGTGATCCTATCGAGTCTGAAGTGCATAAAATCTACTATGATGATCGAGGAGCACCCAAACCAGAACCACTGGCTGAGCTTGCCTACCATCCTTACCTTTACTAGCTTGCAACAAACAATCCTTCACTTTATGACCACTTTTTCCACAACCAAAGCAACCATCCGTACCGGCTTAACATTTGCCATCATGTTTTTTACTACACCTAGTGCAAATAGTTATAGAAAATCCACCACCATTACCTCCTTGAGGTTTATGGTTAGACACCCTATCTTTGTTGAACTTAGAGGTCGGAGCATTAGAAGAACCTTGACCGAAAAACCTTTGCTGGAATTGAGGACGCCTATGTCCACCAGACCTAGAATGAGAAAAATCACCATCATCGGTCCTTGCCCTCTTGGACTCACTTTCCCTTTCCCTGAGCTTTTCCTCTTCGATTTTTTGGCCATGTATCATCAAACGGGAGATATCCATCTCCTTAATCAACATAGCGGTACGGCACTTTTTGACAACCAATTCGGACACACTTGACACAAACTTATTACTCATTCTTGCCCTAGAGTCGGCAACCATAGTTGGATCATACTTAGCCAATTGAGTGAATTCCAAAGCATAATCCTTCACACTCATATTCCCTTGTTGGAGGGTAATGAACTCAAGCACTTTTTCTTCTCTCATTTCAAAAGGAAATCAACTATCAAGAAAAGCTATTTGAATTTCTCCCAATCAAGAGGACTCACGTCAACCCCCCTTTCTTCCTTCCATTGGTTGAACCAAACTTGAGAAACACCCTTGAGTTAGTAAGTGACTAATTCAACCTTCTTCATTGTAGACAATCCCATAATTCCCACTATCTTATACACCTCATCAATGAATTCTTGAAGTTCCTCATCCACTTTTGACCCATGAAACTCTGAATGATTTATCCTAGTGAAATTCCTTATCCTTGTTGTTGTTGTACCCACATTTGGGTTAATAGGAACATCAACTTCCCTATTTTCTTGGACCATCATAGCTTGAGTAAACACTTGAAAAGTGGCTTGGGATTTAAAATGAGTCACTTTCTTAGCCAAATGATCGGATAGAACTTGAGGAACCTCAAGCTCAACATTCTCACTCGCATTCCTTCCCACATAAGTTCTTCAAGTGGCCATCTCCTTAAAAGCATCGAGCAAGATTTAGGAGAAGGATATTTATAGAGATAGACTCTAAGGTACATATTTGAAGTAATAAAAAATTGAAGTTTCCTAAACGCTTTGTAGCCTCCTATTCATAAATGTAGCGCGCTTCACACTCATGAACAAGACTCTACTAAAAGAGATTTTTCAGACATCCTAGGACCTTTTCTAAAACATTGTGCTCTGAATACCAAGTATTTTATGACCCACAGTACACCCTAGACGTGACATAGTGCATAAGACCCAAAGAGGTCCTACACAATACACTTGACATACATACAACATAACATAATAGACAAAAGTAGAAAATCTTAGAAAATGAAAGAGTTTGGCGTAAAAATGGAAGTCTGCACAGTCTTGACAAGCCAATCAAATACATCAAAAGACGTAGTCATGACGTAACCCATACACCACATACAACATCCAAAAACTAAACAGAGGAAAACAAATTAAAATGACATGATCCTCGGATCATGAGGACTCACCAAGTCTTCAACGATCAAGCATTCGATCACTAGCCATGATTGGGAAGAGGAGAAGCGCCGACCCTACGTTATGAGACAATGTAGAAACAAGTATGCATTAGTACATGGAATATACTAAGTATGAGGGATATGCATAAGAACGCAAAATATGATCATAAGAAGACATAAAGGAAAACATGGTACGCATGACCAAGCTAAAACATAGTAAAAACCTTTAAAGAGGAATCATAAATCATTAATATGGTCAATACATCTTAAAACATAGTAGAAGCTTCGCAAAACCTTTAAAGTAACTTTAGTTTGTTTTGTGAGATATTAGCTTTAACCGAAAAAAGACCATCCAAGCTATAACATGGAATCCGATGTAACTCCCACAACGAGAAGGGAGAGTCTACTTTCCAAGGTAGAGCTTAATTTCATATTTAATATGCTATTTATGGATCCACTAGCTAGGTCATTTAAGACAATCCTACATGGATACGTACTTTGGAACTAGAGGTTGCTACCAAAGACTATCCTATTTGAACCTCCACCTCAAAATTCTCTCGGTGCTAAGTTAAATCCCAATGGAATATTTGCTTTCACAAACATAACATCATACGTAGAAAAACACAATTAAATTCTTAAATCATCATGGAATAGCTCCTTAAATCATATATCATGCATGTGTGAGAAAACCTTTCACCAACCATGATTCCTTAACATGTGAGGAAACCTTTCACAATTTCATTGATGCTTATTTCAAAAACAACCTTTAGATCATAAAACGTCTTTTCATAAATCATGCATAGACTTTCAATAAATCAACATTCATAAAATCATAGCTTTCTTCATAAACTCATATCTTCATAAATTCATAGTCAAAATCATGAATGAAACATGTGTCCATATGAAATCAACTAGAAAACATGTAATACTCAAATTATTCATAAGAAGAATAAAATCAAATAATTGAATCGTAACAACGAAGACCAATGGAGAATTTGATGAAATCCTAACCAATTTTGATGAACTTGAATTTGGAGAATTGAGATCTTTTGGTACTTAATGGGTGAATAGAACTCATTGATGAATTCCCACATACCATGATGACAAATCTCAAAATCAAAGGAGGAAAAAGGAGACTTGAAGCTTGAACACTAGCTTTTTTCCTTTAAGCTTGAGAGAATTTAGAGGGGATGAACTTGGATGGAATTTGGAAATTTGAGAGAATGAAAAGGTTTAGGTAGAATTAGGAGTTGAAATGTATTTATAGATCTTAGAATTAGGGTCAAAACAACATTGTATAGGTATTAAATTCATAGGAAAAGATCCAAATACCTTTAAAATTAACTATCAAATGACTTCTATGATTTGGACCTAGGTCCGTAAGACTTCCTACAACCCGTACTAGTCAAGAACTATAATACCCTATATGTACATAAGGACAATTATGTCTTTTGTTTGAAAAAAATAAGGAAGAAAGAAAAAGCAAGGGATCAGATTATTAAAAATAGAAAAAAATAAAAAATAAAGAGGGCTTTAGCCCATTATACGTACAGGGAAAGGGTTTTACCCTTTCAATATTCCCTCACCACTTTGAAAAAAATAGAAAAAGAAAACGAACGCTAGCTGCTGCGTTTCTTTTCCAGCGAAGGAGCAAGGAAGAGAATAAAGAGTTGAAGGGTTAGACTGTGAGGGGTGTAGGATGAGAAAGAGGTTTGAGGTAAATCTTTGTTTCCTTGGGGGATGGAAATTTTATTGCTAGAGAATATAGAATTAGATGAATCAGATAGATAAATTAGATGAAGTTATAGCTTATTACTCCAACTGAATTATTCATGGCGTGAACATATATGGTTCATAAAATTGGTGGGAAACCAAGAAGTCCAAAAGGGGTTGGGTATTCTGAATTTGGCATGAAATAGCCTAAATGAAGGAGTTAATACAAAATTGTTATGAATGTGTTTATAGTTTGACCAAAGGAATTCATACGGACCATTCGAGTGACGAGCTTGGTATTTCAACACGAGTACTGTGAGTAGTAATTTTACCATAATTTGTGTTTTATAACTTTCATGATTTATACATGGTTTATAAAGTGAATGATTTACCGAAATGCTCTGAACTTGCATATGAGACAAGTCTTTTACTTGATATGCTATCAAATGAGTTATTTGAGATGAACTCATTTTTCTAAGGCATGTTTATAGATACTTGAGATATGATTACCGTTATCGAAAGAGTTTAACATTTACTTGAGAAATAGTATTTTGATATATGTTTTTTATTAAAGTTTTATATACTATGATTTGATAAGAAATTAAATGTCTTATAACATTTTTAAATGTTTCTATTGATAAATGGGAGTAGACCTTGATGGATCCCGTTGCTAACGGCAGGTTCATTAGACTTGGTGAACCTAGTAGTTACAGACTACCGATAAAGCTCTTGCTAGTGGGAAGGTAGAACTATGATACCGTAACCAATATCCCTTGAGTAGGGATCTAGCGATATGAATATTTAACTATTTTATGAGGAGTTCACCATTATTGGCTACTTCTTAAAGAGAAGGTTACACTAATTACATGATTCATCCTTGGAAACCTCCTAGCTATAAGATTGATATGAAAGTATTTTTTTAAGTTTATTTCTAAAAGTTCACATTGATTTTGTTTACATGAAACAAATAAGATTGAATATTGTTACCGTTTCTGAAAGGGCATCGATTTCATCATTTTGATTATTAAACTAGCATGTTTTTTTACTTTTCCCTAATTAAAATAGTTGTGGTTAAGTATTATTACTCACTGAGCTAGCGTCTCACTCTTTGCTAAATGTTTTTACAAAGAGCTTAGGTGACATTGGAGAAGATCTCATTAATTAGAGAGTGTGGACTGATAGTATCTGGTGAGCCTCGCATTGCTTCGCGCGGCAAGAGACATATTGAATTGCTATGATTTTTTTTTTTTAAAAAAACACTCTAGAGTCGCTCCATTTGTCATTCCCTTTATTTGAGTCATGATTATTCCTTCGTATTGTAGTCCAATGACTAGTTTTGAACTTATTTTGTTGTATTTTGGGATGAATTGGTATTATTGCTTGGCAATTAGATCATCGATGAATATTCTGTCTTGGCCTATAGTTCTTATTAGTTGTGTTGTGGATTTCTGAGGTAGGGAAAATTCAGGATAGGCCTAGAAACAAAGGAAACTCTGTCCGATTTTCTATAGAATTCTGGTAAGGCTTGCTTTGGAATTCTCCCCCTTAGCGCCGGTCACGTTCCTTAATTGGGTCTTGACAAAGTTAGTATCAGAGCTTAGGTTATTCCCTTGACTTATGGAGCATACGTTAGTAGTAGAATCTCAATTATGGTTACGTTGTTGTCCATTTCTATAATCGTGATTCTGCAAAGACGTGATAGGATGTGTCTGTCTTTCTATCTCATTCCTCCTTATGTGTGCGACTCATAAGGTCAACTATATGAATCTAACATTGTTTATCTTTCTATAACACATTTTGAATTTAGTCACCCAATAACAAGAATAGTCCAAAGGTTTGGAGTCTTCAATGGTCACCGTGTAAACATCTATCTCTTCCAATTAAGGGGAGCTTACTGAAGTAGTTGAAAAGTCCAAGAAAGAGGTCGTTATGCCACTTTGAGGGATTTTGTGCACATATGTGAAATGTAATATATATCTCGTCTGGAAAGAGCACTACTCTATCACTTTAACAATATGAGAATGTTACTGTTAAGACACGTATGTTCCTGTAATGATTTAGAGATATTAATGGACATAATGAATGGAGTCAGGCACCAAATAGGTCCCAAGACCATCTTCAAGCAACTACAAAGATTCAAACTTTCAAAAAAAGTATGCTTCGGAGTTTCTAAAGATGAAACCTCCTAGATTCGTAGGTTCTAACAACTCAAAAATCCTTAGAGATTTTCGGTAAAGATTCTTGGGGTGAAATACTTAAAGCTTTATGAGCTCTAGCATGTTCCAACAAGAGTACTGTAAATTTGGCAACGTTCCGACGATGCATGACTAAATACATGACATGATATTATACTAATCAAGATACTAGTAGGGGAACACCAACAAATTGAGGCGATTCCCTAAGTTATTTATGATTTTTTTCCTTCTAGACCGTTAAAAGTGAGTAACTTGATAATAGGCTTAAGAAATTAGTTCAAAAAGATGGATTGAATTGATATATTACTCTAGATTTTTCGATTGACTAGAGTTTTTTAAGATTTAGAGATTTGTTGGAAGGTTGGTTAGCCCCTTTAAAAACCTTTTATATGAAGACGTTAGTGTACTTTGAGGTAGTTGACATTGCTAAAATGATTGGAAATATATAACGTGATTAGTGAACGATCAAACATTCATTCAAAAGACCAAAACTAAGAACCTGCTATGGGAATCTTACTAAAGAGTTCAAAATTATGAATTTTACTGGTTCCTACTCCCGTGGGATATTTTTCTTTTGTTGGAATTTTACTAAAGAGTTGAAAATTATGAATCTTTCAGTGCCAATGTTTAAATTATATCCAAGTCTATTCTCATAGCTATAATGAACACAAGGATCATCTCTGGATGGTATTTAAAAAATGACAAGAATATCAACTTTATGTCGAGTTTTGTAATTGTAAATTAGTGTATCAACGAATTGAAATTATTATGTGTACTGAAAAGATAGAATCACTTGACATTGTACTATAAATGTTTGGTGGAGTAGTTCTAAAGAATTGTTGCGTTACTGACCAAGTTATAAAAAGAAAAGAAACAAATTTCAGTAGATGTTGGAATGTGAGTAGAGCTTTATAAGCTCAAGACATATTGACCATCATACCAGTGATAGTGCTATTCTTAGCATTGGAGCATTCATGGTGCTTTGTGATGCTTTAAGGATGGAATTAGAATATGTTATTATATAAAATGGTCGTGTAATAGCTTATGTTTTGAGGAAACTAAATTGGTAGGAGCAGAACTATTCCACTCATAATTTGAAGATAATGGTAGAGGTTTAGATGTGCTATTTATACCATGAAACCGATGAGATTTTTATAGACTACAAGAGCTTTGTATTTATGTTCAAGTAGAAAGATTTGATTCTTCAATCTACACCACCAGAGGAAACTACTCGATGACTGTTAAATTCACTATTCAGTGTCATCTGGAAAATGACCACGTTAAGGCAGATGCATTGAGAAGCAAATCCATGAGCTAATTGACATATAACTCTTGCAAATATACTTTTCACCTAAGATATGCATACCCATTGAGGTCACCTAATACAAGGATGGAAATTTTGTGAATACTGAAATAAGGTTCTTGTGAGTAAAGACAAGAATATGAGTATTAACAATATGTTGCTTTTGGAGTAAGTGGTTGATTGTGATAATCGAACATAGATGGTGAGAGAGAGATTATTCTTGAGGAACCCATAACTTTAAATACATTGTAGATTCTGGATCCACTAAGGCATATCATTACCTGAAGTGATTGTAATGGTGAGAATATATAAACAAATATATTGCTTACTTTACTTCTAGTTGGTTGGCCTGTGAACTTGTTAAAGATTAGTATAAGCAACATACAAGACTATTACTGTAGTTTGAGGTTCAGGAGGTAAATTGGAAAGAGCTACTATTGATTTTATGACCGGGTTATAACCACAAACACTTAGAGGTTATGACCCTATGTGGGTATTTGTAGATCGAATTACAAAGTCAACACACTTCTTGCTGTTCAAAACTAGATAAATGGAGAAACAACTATAGAAATTTACATGACCAAAATTATTTGACTCCATGAGTTTCAGTGTCCATCATATTTGACAGAGTATTACTGTCTACTTCCTGTTGTTGTGAATTTTTCCATGAAATATTGGGTACATAAATAGATTTTATCACTACATTTGATTCGTAAACAAACGGGCAGTCTGAGCGTACTGTACAAATATTAGAGGGTGTGTTATGAGCTTGTATTCTTGATTTTAAGTGTAGTTGGGATATTTACTTACCAATAGCCGATGTTGCTACAATAATAACTTTTAGTCAAGCTTTTAGAGGTCTCTATAAGAAGCCTAGTATGCTAGAAGATGTCATTCTCCATCAAATGGTTCAAAGTTGACGTGGCTAATATATTTGAATTTGGGACTACCTAAACTTGTTACAGGAAGCTAGGGACAAGGTTCAATTAATCAGACAAAAGTTGCTCACAATTCAAGTAGGTGGAAGTCTTATACATATAAGAGGAAATGGAATTTAGAATGCATAGTTGGGGACCAAATCTTCCTAAGAGTCCCTTAGCAAATGAAGTGAAGTGATTCGAAAAAAAAAGAGAGGAGGAAAATTGAGCTCAAAATTTATAAGATCATATAAAAACTTCTTGGCCCTATGAGAGAGTGGTGTTGTGTCATTTAGCATTTCCTTTTGTGATGTATTTTACTTGCCCAGTATGTCGTGTGTGCTAAGAAAATGTATGTCAGACTCTTCTCATGTGCTTGAAGCACAAACTATACAACTTGAGGAGAAGTGGACTTATGCCGAAGAACCAGTGGCTACTATTGACAAACAAGTAAAAAAGGTTAGGATCAAAATTTATCCGTAAAAATCTTGTAGAAAAACCACACAATTAAAGAAGTTACTTGAGAGTTGGAAAATGATATGCGAGTCAAGTATCCTCTCTTGTTTCAGCCTACAGGTACAAACTTGTTTAAATTCGGGGACAAAATTTTTTAAGGTGGGTAGAATGTAATACCCTATATGTACAATTTAGCTTGAAAAGAAAAAAAGTGGAGTAGAAGTTAAGTTTCTATTGAATTGAGTAAGATCCTTTTGAATAGAAGATGCCCATGCAAAAAGATTTTTTTAGAGGAGGATAAAAAATATGCGGATTTCCCTATTGATTAACCTCTGAAGCGGAAGAGAAGAGAAAGTGGTAAAAATAAGGACAATTATGTCTTTTCTTTGAAAAAAAAGGAAGAAAGAAAGAGTAAGGGACTAGATTATTAAAAATAGAAAACAA